TAAGGCCTGGTCCACACTAACCCCCCACTTCGAACTAAGGTACGCAAATTCAGCTACGTTAATAACGTAGCGGAATTCGAAGTACCTTAGTTCGAACTTACCGCGGGTCCAGATGCGGCAGGCAGGCTCCCCCGTTGATGCCGCGTACTCCTCTCGCCGAGCTGGAGTACCGGCGTCGACGGCGAGCACTTCCGGGATCGATTTATCGCGTCTAGACAAGACGCGATAAATCGATCCCAGAAGATCGATTGCTTACGGCCAGACCAGGAAGTAAGTGTAGACCTGCCCTTAAGAGGTCACCATAGAGACAGTGTAATGCATGTACATAATTTCCCCATTAGTGTTACAGTCATATGGACATCAAGGGGAGAATCAGCCTTACCAGTTGCACTGTGAAAATAGTGCAAAGGCTTGTAATATCCTACAGCATGTGAAAAATAATGAAATCAGATTCTTCTCAGGGCAACCTAGAGACTGGCCAAATGGCAGCTAGCTACAATACTGAGCAATTTTCCACTACTGAATAGATACCAAACTCCTCAATCATACTGGAATATTTTCCTACGTGGCAGAGGCCAAACAGTTTCATATTTCTAATCAAGTTCCAAATATATATATAAAGCATCAGCTACAGTTGAGAGAAGATTTGCCAGCCAATACCAGCAGCTAGAAATTCAGTTGGGCAGGAGTGCTTTCCCCAGTAGGTAGTAGTTAGTTCAGACCCAAAACGAGGAGAGAGAGGAGCAAATGCAATAGAAATTCTCATTGCAGTTTTACAATCTTGATTATACACATCTGCATCACAGCAGGAAGAGTTAGTGTCCTGATTTGTATCCCCCCACAGCTTATCTTTACATTAATACTGTCCACTGCTCTTTTAACAGGCAAAAAATTCTGATAAATCTATTTTGCACGCCAATCTGAACTGAAGAGTAGAATATTTACATATCTACAAGCACCCCAAAAAATAACCTGTTTGTGGACTGACATCTGAGTCTTTCAGAGGTCAAATGACTAGTGAATCAAACCCATACTGTTAAAGGTATCCTAAAGCTGCTTTATGATACAGAACGATCTAGAATAGTTAATGGGAGGGTGTTTTCAAATCTGTCACTCGCATTAACTGAATGGTTATCATGTCACTGCTTCAGTCACCCAGCTGTTAGCTGCCCTGAGTACATGCCCATATGAGAACTTGGGTACATACAAGGGGTGACTAGCCCATCCCACAGCAGCTACATACTCAGTACTAGCGCAAGTAGGTCTCCTTGAGTTGGGAATCACCCCCCTACTCCACATGTAGACATACCCTTAGCTGCAAAAGAAAAAAAAGTGAGAATCACCTAGCAACAGGCAGGGCTGGCTCTGGCTTTTTTGCCGCCCCAGTGGGGGGGGGGGGGGGCGGCGGCCGGGGCCCGGGGGGGGGGGGGGCGGGCGGCCGGGGCGCCAGGGGGAGGGCGGCGAGCCCGGCCGTGGCCCTGCTCTCCCCGGCGGCCGGTGTAGCGTGCCGTCACACCTGAGCACCGCGCCGCCCCCCTCCAGGTGCCGCCCCAAGCACAAGCTTGGTGGGCTGGTGCCTGGAGCCGGCCCTGGCAACAGGGCTGTCATTAACTCCACTTTATTATATGGAGATCAGAATGCTCAGTGAAGTTTCTACAGGGACATTTTTTAAAACTGCTCACTCTACAGGATCACTGTAATCAAAATTAACATGGGTTCTTGAGCCCCTCGGCTCACAAGGAATGTGCTATTCCCTCTACCACGTTCTTCTGGTGTCTTCACTTTACATATAATTTAGTACCTCAAGAGAACATTTTCTCATCAAATGCATCAGCCTCCCAGCAAACGGCCTCTTTCATGTATAAGCCATGCAGAGATCTTAAGGAATCCTTGCTTTACTAAGCAAGAGACCACTGGGGAAACATACAGAACTTTCAGTATCACTAGTAAAAATGCAAAGTGGGCCAAGAGCAGTGTATGAGGAGGCTACTAGGACAGCTAAGATTAATCTGTTTTAGACAGGGATGATATTTTCTCTATGGAATACAATAAAAAGTTGATTGGTCAAGTCTCACATGTGCACCATATCATATTTCAAATGCATTTCAAATGTATCCAGCTTATGCATGAAAAACAATTCAGAGGAAAAGTAAATTTTTGCTTCTGTGCAATTTTCCGTGTCACCCAGTTACTTCCCTCCACTGTAGGCGGAATCTCCAAGTTCTCTCAAAGGGGGACAAACAAGTGTTTTGATGGCTGGGATGGAGGAAGCGATATTAGAATGATTCTCCTGAATCCATTTTAGTCTGTCATGCGACAAAGGATAAGAGATGTATATTGGAAAACAAGTTTCTTCCTCAATGTTCCTGCTCTCATTGTCTGACTTTCAGAAGTGCTGAGCAGCCCGATCTCCCACTGAACTCAATGGGAATTGCAGGCACTCAGCAACTTTGAAAAAATTCAGCAGTCTATAATTAGGGAATTGACGACTGAATTTATTTTTCCAGGAGTCTAATAGGGTGTAACTGGCTGGATTGTAAATTTCTCTTCCCTAAGGAGCAATTTAAGAAAAGAGATAAAATTAGTGCCTGTGTTTAAACCCTTCTCTCAGGAATCACAGTTCTTGTTCAATACTTGGGCATTTTGGAAAGCCACACAGTCTATATCCTTTACTATTTGGGAAGAACGTTACATAGCTAAGATTATACAGTGCATGTGAACCCACTCCGTACACAGTTAATCTAGCTTAGAAAAAATGCCTCTTCCACATACCAGCTCTGAGACAAAATGCTGCAATGCACCAAATCTTTACAACATGCTCCCAGGGTATGCCAGCATGGCAATCAAGGAACAGGGCAATCAGCTGGAGAGAAACACTGCAGACAGTGTACTCTACAGATCATGACATGCTGGATTCAGATAGGATTTCCTCTTTCTTGTTACTAACTGGGAAGCCACATGCTGTCCTAACTGGAACTACTGCCCTTGAGGAAAAGAAGTGTCATCAGGAATGTTGCCTGTCATGATTTGATTAAAACAACAACCCTTGTTAAACGATTGAGAGGAACATTCCCAAAGCCTGCAGGTCACAGGAATTTGGCAAATACACTGCAAGCAAGTTCGCTGTGGAAGACAGCTTGATGAACTACTGCAGCAGTCACTGCTACTGTGGTGAGCGTGTACCAGTGGCATTTGCAAATCATCTTTGATATTGATTTACTCAGTGCATTACTACTGAAGAGCAAACTGATGCCTGTGTGACATTTCACAGACAGTTTGTACAGTACGAGTTGAGAGTTCTATAGTGGTGACACACACAAAACCATCCACACTAATGCACTCGCAGACTCCCAGAAGCCTGGGCTTTCCAAGACTAGTCATTGATAGTTCTAATGCCCCTGTAATGTATTTAATCCTTTTGCCAACCTGGATTATTATAGGCAGAAGCAGGAAGGTTACAAGCCACTGGGGTCCCAGAACATTGAATTCAGCCCCATGCAGTACTTGTGACATTCTCCTCTGTAAAAGGTGAAGCCAATTTACCAGATACACACTATGTCAGCACTTGAAAGCCAAGTAGGGTGATTATGCTACCTAGTGAACTACTGGGCCAGTTTCTCAGCAGCAACAGAAATGGTTACCAGTCACGTGTGTTCACAAGTCACTGCGCTGGACAGAAGATCAAAAAGCCAAAACGCCATTACTGAGAAAAAGTACGGAAGAAAAGGAAGTGGGGCTCACTTTAAAAATGGATGCTGTATAAAACTTTGACCGGTTTCTTCGGTTCTTTGCCCACGATATTGTAACAGATTTTATTTTCATCCTGGGCTTTATTTTTACACAAATAGCTTAGCTGTGACATGCTAGCACCGCTGGTTAGCATTCAGCATCCCTGCTGACATCACATGCCAGCTAGTCAGATAACTGTCCACTCATCTTTATCTCATCCTTTGAATTGAGTCATCCTTTTAGAAACACTTTCAAAGCTTTTTCCCTCAGCTTCACAATCCATGGGAGGATGCTACTCCTGGTTATTCCTTGGCTTTCCCAAAGTGCTATGGGCTCTACATATAAAGCTGTATTGGCTATATCATTAGCAAAAGTGCAAATAAAAAGAGAAAACTGAGACTAAAGTATAAGCACTGGCTATCTCAGCAGCTCCACTGAAGCCACAATATGTAGTAGTCAGATGTTAGGATCTCCATAATCAGGGCTGATGTGGCTCTTAAAAGGTCTATGTTTGGGGTGGAAAAAGCCATACCCTTAAAAAAAGTTAAGATTTAATTTAATCCAAAAATGCATTAACAGACCCCATAACAGCACCTTGTTTAGATTAAGAATGCATTATTGCACGTTTATTCCTAACTGGAAAACCTGTCCACTTACTCATCAATGTGTATTTGCAGTAGAATACTCGAGCCCCCAGTGTATTCTTCTGAATGGAGTTTGTGTTGGATGGGCCATTTCTGAAGGGACAGAGTGGCTCCCCAACTTCAGTTTTTAAATCACATTTGTAATGCAATATGTACAGTGAGCTGGTTCTCCCACCCACCAGAGAATTAACTGTCGAGAACATGATTGCCTAGCACATTTGGCATGTGCCAGTTCCTCACTTCTCTGCCATTTAACGTGTGGAAGTAGAAATTATTTTCGGACATCCTAAAACCATAGATCATACAACATGGATTATCTTATTGGCAGTGCATTTCCATTTCCACTGGCTGGAGCGCTAGGCTTGCAAGATGCCTGCCACTAACAGTAGTCAGACCATTACTGCTTTGGGTATGTAGCAAGAAGGGTAGGAAAGGAATGCTAGAGAGGAGGATTTGGTATTAGTGGAAGAGGGATACTATATTTTCATGTTCTCTTTGAAAGGAAACCAGTCCCAGACATCAAAGCAGGTAGCTCTTTTTACCCCCACTTCCAAGATTTTCGCAGTTAGCAATGGCAGAGATGGTTGGGGGAGGAAAAACCAAGTGATCTTCAATCAATTCTTTAAAATTCATTTATTAAGAGCTCTGCGATCTCAACTCCAGTCCAAAAGAGAAATGAATCAACATTCTAAAACCAAACTCCACTGCATCCTGTTCCAGTCTTTATTGAAAGGACAAAGCTCCCAGTGGTTCCAATTCTCCAGTCCCTGGAGACTTGAGTTCTGCAACTGTCATTCACCAAATCCAATCCCTAGTGGGTTTGTGATCTGAGAGGTGTTAGCATATTTACATGATGGAACCCCACACTGCCATTCTTCTGTAGAAGCGCCCTCAACACTGAATGTCCAGATCTCTTCATGAAGATTAAGGCCTGGTATCTGGTAGCTGCAGTCTATATGCCTTCCTGACTGATTCAGCTGCTTAGGCAGCAGTCTCATTGATGCTACACATCCTAGCCAGAAGCAAGAGGCCACCCGCAACAGAGGCGATATGGCTCAATATAAAAAGAGGGGAGACTCGTGCTGCAGTAGAGGCTAGTCACAGAATTCTTTCAGGGGTTCTCCCACCTTTTCATTCCACAAGAATGAGCTCCTCTGATGGCCCCTCCCACTTCCCCACCTTTCATGACACTTCATAATTTCCAGCGTAGGTGTCACACAGCATGTGTGTATATGCATTATATAAATATCTACTTTACCCACACACACTATAGGTCTCTCTTCACATTGATATTACACACTCCAGAGAACACAACTGCAAACAATTTAGAAGTCCTAATAGTTCCAGAAAGGGGTGGGTGGGTGTGTGTGTGTGTGTGTGTGTGGCAAATAAGCCACCCAGCATCCCTAAGAAAGCTCCAGATTCCTTGTGTGTAACACTATCCCATAATAAGCCCATATCCTTAAAGAGGAATAATTAGCTTTTTGCAATGTTTTGCTCCCCTCCACACACCCAGTCTGCAGTCCCAGCGTTGGGAAGCTCAGGTTGCTCCCTTTCCACGGAGTAGTATTAGTACAGTAACATTTTCTCGGAAAGTGCTGCCTTGGTCCAGGGGAATCGGCCCCTCGTGCTGTGTTCTTCCACTTGTGCCGGGGCTCTGCTGAACCATTTACCGCTTTCTTGGCCTTCTCCCTGCTTTTCATCACCCCTGAAGAAGCCACCCTGGAGGAGGGGAAAAAAAAGTGTTTCAGAAGAAAATAAAGCTTCGGGCACCTGAGAACTACACCAGCAATTCTCACCAGCAGCCCAGGCGTCGCTCTCTCTATATAAACCAACGGACAGGAATCTCTCAACATTACCTACGTTGCCTTACCCAATTTTCCGTCACTTTTTATTGTTACTATTTTGCAAGACATGTATCTTCTCTGGAGACAATGCTGCTGTGGTTGAAGCCAACCAACAAGGGCAGGAATTCACTGAAAATCCATTGCCTTTGATATCCCCTCTAGCATTTGATTCTCTAATCCGTTGAGCCACAGCCCAAGCCTATACATCACTGGCTCTCAGCCAGGCAGGTACTAACAGGTGCTGGGGGAGCAGGGTATCACAACCACCCTGCCATGCCCATATTGCTAAGTGTGAGAGAGGTCCTGGAAGGAGCAGGGTGACAGGATATGGTGTACTGGTAGGGAAGAAGAAGTTGAGAACCATTGCTACAGTGCACGTTCATGGTCTCTGCCGTCACTAGCCAGCTCAACCCAGTAGAATGTGTGGCAGAAGTCCTGAGGATTTTGGCTCATAAGAACCAGCGTACCTGCAGGAATCACAGAAGCATTGACAGAGAGTGGTTCAAACACAAGGCAAGTGATTAAAGTCCAATCATTTATCTAAAGGAAGTACCCATACAGGAAGGGATGCCTTGGGAAATGATCTAATTCCAGGTTATAATGAAACAAAGAATCCGAGATTGGAACCATTTTAATCTAGCCTTCAAACTGTTCTAATACTAGTCAGCACTGAGATAGTTCTATTTGTGTTACAGTACTGCCCAGAGGCGCCAAAAATTAGATCAGGACGAGATCCCATCGTGCAAAGATTTGACAGACAATAGCCAGTCCTGGCCCAAAAGAGCTTACAAACAGAAGAAAGGATGAGAGCAAAAGAAGAATTATCCCCATTTTACAGACGGGGAACTGAGGCACAGGGAGATACACTAACTTGATCAGTGGCAGATCTAGGAACTGAACCCAGAGTCCCAATGCAGTGCATTAACCACAAGACCATCCTTCCACTATGGCACCAGCTGCTTCTCTTTCAGAATGTTCTTTCGCCAGAGTTTCTAAACATAGATGGTTGTCACAGCTTCTTGCCAAATCTCAGTGTAAAGACTATTGCTAATCCATTTGGGTTTCTCAAGCTTCATTTTAAAAAAGCGTGCTTAAAAAGGGTTTGGACAAACAGATCTGTAAGCAGGAGCCAGCGCAACAATGCCAACTTCCTACCCTAAAATGTTTCTGGTTCCAGCTGTCTCAAGAAGGAACCACCCACAAGCCACCCCAACCGATGTAAGAAAGCAAAAGTGGCAGATTGCAGTGAAGGCTCAAGACTAAAAAGAGAGAAGACAACATCACAATTACAAATGCTTCTAAAAAATCTCCTTCTATTCCAAACATTCTTAGCTGTACAGCTCTTTGGTTGAAGTCTTTTCCTGGGGTGGAGGAAAGGATATTGAGGTAGCTTGTTAGTAAAACTGCTTATTGAAAATTTTCTAATAGAATCTTTTTTCTTGCAAAGAAGAGTACATTGCTAACTAACCAAGGACAAGACCAAAATTTAGACATGCTGCAACTGAATGTATTTTAATCTTTGTTTATACTGAAGAGAACAGCAATACAGTGTGTGTCTCAGCTAGACAATTGACACGCTAGAGGCTACTGGCTTTTATTGAAGTTCCAAGCAAAGCGGTTGATTAAAAAAAAACAAAACAAAAAAAACAGTAAGCTTGTGCGTTTGAATGTTCTTAATGCTTTGATTAACCCTTTTTGTGTTAAATATTTTCCTTTCTGCATTCTCTTGAGGATTTTAACCAAAATAAAAAGGAAAAATCTATACTATAGATCATGCCAATGGCTATAGTCCAGAATCCAACATACTGGATTAAAGCATACTGAGTCCTATTAAAGTTATTCAGGGGAAATCAGGGTAATGATAAAAACCAGAAGTCATCCCCCATATCAACCTGGGACTTTATCAGTACAATTTGACAGTGGGACCATAAAACCTTTTTATACTGCGCAAATATTATGCAGGCCCATCTGGTGCATTTTCCTGCTTTGAGCAGGGGGTTGGACTAGATGACCTCCTGAGGTCCCTTCCAACCCTGATATTCTATGATTCTAACACCACCAGTGTCAGAAGATTACCTTGAGTAACAGACAAGTTTTTCAGAATATCGATCCAACAGCCTTCTCCATTGTAAAGAGAGACAATCTGCCTCCCACATGGTAATTTGATGTATATTCAATGTTATCTTTTTATTCTATTGCAGAATAATGTACTCCCTCCCATTTTATTTATTGGTATCTTCTGACTCATTAACATGCATAAAGTTCCTTATTTAGCATAAGGAGAGCCAGGTAAAAATGCTGCTAGCCTCCCTCTCCTGCCCATACACAATGCACACACATGCAGACACATGAGACTCCTGAAGGAAGTTCCAACCCTCTTGCTTGGCGTTGCACCCTTGACCCGCTCATGTGCCCATACTTGCTGTTGTTTCCTATATAGTTTGATTAAACAAAAATGTGTTGATAGGCTCTGTGCTCAGTGCGATCTCTCCTCTCTCCAAAAAAAGAGGGAACAAGAGGAGTTCTTTTTCTCCCGGGGGGGGGGGGGGGGGGCGCTTTTTTTCCACCGCGTTTCTATTTGTGGGAGGACTGGGCACAGAGCAAGTCTAGAGGACATGTTGGTAAGAATGCCCAGGTCTTGGCTACATTATTGCTTCCGCCATCACAACTCCAGTATACAGCGAGAGATCTCCCTCTTCCAAAAAAACAGTTCAGAAAAATGCTTATTAGGGCCCACAAAAGCTAGGGATTAATAGCATTGACTAAAGCCAGGCACTCTGCAATTCAGACTAGGCCTCTGACCTGCCACAGAACTTCACTTCTGATCTGCAAGGCCTTAGGTCAAAGACTCTCTAACTGCAGTCCATAGAGCACTTATCTGTCTCTAGGCAACAAATTACATTGAATGGCAGCTAAAATATATTAAATCATTTCCTTCTTCATTTTTCCCAAGGGAGCAATTCCTGGAGTTGCCTCAGAGCTAATAAGTAATGATCACAAGCAGGAGGAGGAAGTGATGCCTTATACCAGCGGTGCCCAACCTATGGCCCAACGGCCATACATGTCCCACCAGAGCATTTCATAAGGCCTGAGGCCTGCTTCAACACAATATAATAACAACCGATTCATTAGCACTGTTGTCATGTTTACATCATTTTAGTTTACACAAGTCTGTAAACAGACAATACTGTACATAGAAACAACCTAATACATATGAAACAAGCAGAACTTAAACTATAAATCAATACGGGGACTTTAAATCTTATTAAAATATGTAGAATTTGTTTGTCCTCCACCAGGTTGTGCTTAAGTTTGTGTGGTCCTCTTGTGTAATAGGGCTGGGCCCCACTGCCCTATACATTTGTAATATGTGGTCAAAAATTATGGAATAGTTTGTTTCCCTCTACCCTAGTTAATCCAGATTTATCAAGCAAGAATTGCTAAGTATGCAGAAGTTTTTCCACCTTTCACAGCTCTGTTTCATGACCCTCTCTTTTGCCTGGTCTTTTGTTTTATCGTCCTACCCGAGGAAAAATGACAAGAGGAAAAACTGGAAGGATAATAGCAGCTGACCTCCATGAGTCAAGTCTTTGATATTGCAAACTGGAATGAAAGTTGATCTGCCATCAAGCAAGGAAGCTGAACTCAGCATGAGAAAAAGCTTTATAGCGGTTTTCTTTCCTTAATGGAGAACATAATGAATTAGTCTGTTGTGAAGCAAGGACTTGGGAGAGCGTGCAGAGGCAGAATGATAGGAACCTATGGATTCTGCAGTTTCCTCCTACCCCAGAGAGCTGCTCATCCCATTAGGCAAAGAGAACCAACTCAGGATACCACAAAATAAAGCAGAGGTGTCAATATGTCATCACAAATAAAGGTGATTTTAGTAGGGCCATTGTGGACAGCTGGGAGGAAGGAGGAAATCGAGGATACCACCTTCATAAGACAGTTTCATTTAATAAAACAGACTTAGGTTAACAAGTGCTTTCCTCCCAATCTCATCCTACTTTAGTGGGGTTCCTCCCCACCACCACCCGCACTCCACTTCAACTCGGATATGTAAAACAGCACTCAAGCATCTGACATTTACAAGCAAGGCCTGTTTCGCTAAAGAAATAATTCATTGCAGGGGAGAGAGAGCTGCAAGCTTCCACCCCCGCCACCCCAAACTACTGTATTGTTTACATTTTAGGATTTAGCCAAGTGTGTCTGCACCATCTCAGGCAGCACTCTTTAATCTAACAAAGTGGCAGCTAAGTGCCTACAAACTAACAGAACTCACTTTAGAAGTAGCATAGAGCAGAGTGACAAAAGTCACTTTTCGCTGCTGGAGACTGGCTGCTGACCCTGTCTGGAAGAAACAGACTGGTCTCTAGATTGGGTTCAGTTATACCCTCTCCTACACCAGTGCAATTCTTATTAATTTTGGTGAATCTGAGCAGAAAACAAGACCTATAATCTTTAAGGCTACTTTCTTCCATAAACACTTGAACTGAGATGTCCTCTGGTTAAGTAACTCCTTGTAAAACTACTAAAAGTAAATCCCTTGATATTTCCTACAGCCAAGACTTCCTAACTTACACTCTTGATTTAAGAGTTGAATTACGAGAGTTTACATGTGTAGGAAATGTGTGCCCTATGCTGTCTTTTTATGGCATAAAAAGGATCTCCTGGTTTCTTTCTTCTGCCTAATACTGGCCCATTTGAAATACTGCTGAGTGGTTTCACGTATATTAATTTTTGTCGTTATCACCAACAGCATATGTGCATTTATGTTTACAGACAGCGAGAGCTCATAAAGCAGGGGCAGGGCCGGCTCCAGGCACCAGCTGAGCAAGCTGGTGCTTGGGGCGGCAGATTGTTGCAGGCAGCATT